TCCAGTTCGGTTCTCGTCCGCCTCGTTTCAACGGGGTCATCCCCACACTAGTGGGCCTGAGCAGGCTCTGGTAATGGAACAAGAAGTAGATACTCTCTTGAGGAAGGGGGCCATAGAACGTGTTCCTCCTCTCAAGAGAGTGTCCGGGTTCTACAGCGATTATTTCATCGTTCCAAAGAAGGATGGGGGGGTTGCGTCTGATCTTATATCTCCGTCTTCTGAACCGTGCTATCAAACGGCTTCGGTTCAAGATGCTCACTATCAAGCAGATAGTATCTCAGATCCAGTCCGAGAACTGGTTTGTTACGATAGATCTCAGAGATGCGTATTTCCATGTTTCCATCCTCCCTCAACACTGGAAGTTCCTGAGGTTTGCTTTCGGGGGCGAAGCATACCAATATAGAGTTCTTCCCTTTGGCCTGTCACTCTCACCCTGCACTTTCACGAAGTTTGTGGATGCTGCTCTGGCTCCACTGCGACTCCAGAGCATCCGCAGCAGCGTCTCGTTCCCTCTGGGAACCATGGTTACATACGTAACCTAGAGACGTTTTATTATGTGCAAGCCAAATGACCATGGCAAATAGAGTAATAACTGTTCTACTCCATCCAAGTTCTGTGACTGAGACTGATATGTTTTTTTTTAATTCATACTTTAAATGGACAGGGTTTTTATTCAACTTACCCTCCTCAGCTATCTTGTTCTTCAGAACCACTGCCAGGCTCTGCAACCATGTGCAGTGTTGTGCCATCTCCAACACCAAAATGCTTTTTTCCTCTTGCAGTCGCATTGTCAACATCACTTGGTCATGCAGTTGTTTCTTGATTGAAATGTTTGCTAAGAATCTACAATAGTTATATGAATACATGAGACAATCTATACATGAGCATAATAGCATTTAAATGTTTTGTAACTACAAACATGTACTTTTTTAAAACAAATTGATACATAAGAAAACTGGAAATGTGCCCATTAACTAAATGAACATTACCACTCTCAATGTAACATGCATGTCTTAGTTCAGTGTGCTCTATATAGCAGAACTGTAAATAAATTCTTGTGAAGCATCTGAAAACTGACATACCACTGCCATGAACCTCCCACGGCCATATTTGAGACACATTGCTCTCTCCAGTCAGGTCATGCTCCACCACAGCTACATCAATGTTAGTGGCAGAGTCTAGTACAATACCATTGTATTTCTCTATCTCTTGAAGGAGCTTTTTATCTTCTGCCAGCTTCCTTCGAAGGCGGTGGCAAAGCTTGCTGCTGTCTAGAAAGACAGGAGGTACAGGTGTAGATGTTTGTAACAGCACTGTTCAATAAGGAAAGATATATTGCACCCAAAAAAAAATTAAAGCAAAGCTGCAGTAATTGAAGTATGTGAAATTTTTAATTTAGATTTACAAACAGATAAACCAAAGGTCCAGTGTGTAATATTTAGGGGATACACACATTCCTGAAAATAAGAATTGCTGTGCTTTAATTAATTTAATTTTTTATCTAAATACGCTCCCCTTTCACAGAGGCCACCATGTTCCTACGGTAGACCACAATGGACAAACAAACACTGGCTCGAGATAGGATCAATCACTTTTTCTCGTCTGCCACAGTAGTTCTACTACAGCTTGGGAAGGGAGAGGTGAGGGGAGTTGGTTGCAATTTACAACCTTGTACATGTAAAGGCCAATTCACACCGCACCGACAAACGCCGACAAACGCCAACAGACTAGTCTGTCGGAGTTTGTTGGATCAGTCTGTTACCCTGTCGCCGTTTGTTGGCGTTGGTCGGAGTTGGTTTTAACCCGACTGAACATGTTTATTCGGCGTTTGTTGGGTCGTGGAATGTCTGAGCAGTGTGATATGATTTTCCAACAAACGACAACAAACTCTGACGTAATCTGACCTCGCCACGAACCGTTGCCATGACAATGAGGCAAGACTGCAAGTAGGTGCTGGGCGCGCTTCGGAAAATAACTTTAAAAATGGCAGGTTTCTGGACAAACCAGAAAGAGGAACAGTTTTTGGATCTGGGAGGAGAGGCCAGAGCTTTAAGCGGTGGGTGTGGCTGAGTATACCAACCGCAATGCGAGGGGGAATGCGATCAGATATCACTACAGCGCTTGAGAAATTTCACAACGGAAATTTATTTGACAATATATTATTATTATAATAAAACTGCCTTACAATATTACCAAAGACATTAATAACAGTATCATTTTGATTGTTGTTACAAGATCATCCATTTTCCCCCTAGTTAGCTCTCCCTGACTTGAAGTCTGTTGGTGTCTGTTGGGGCAGTGTGAGCATGACAGTTATTTTTCATAAAATTCTAAATCCAGCAGCCAACGTGTCTGTTGGCGTTTGTCGGTGTGGTGTGAATTGGCCTTAACATGTATTAGTAGGATGCATACAGTGGCTTGAATATATCAACCTATTATATTCTGTAGTTATACCATTCTGACGGTAAAGGGTTTGATTCCGCTGCCTCAAACTAAGGTAAAGCCCGCAATGCTGTCATACAATATATGGCATTTATTCTCTCAGTTTGATTTTAGAGTAGTTGTTTGGTAGAAGTAGTGGAAGTGGGGAGGAAATAAAGGTCGGACATATATGGTTCTGTTTGTGACAACTTTTCAGTCAAGTTATGATTGAAACTTGCATTTCTCACTGCTTTAAGTATGGTTTCCACAAATCTAGATACCGCAACGTCTTCAGCCACAAAGAACCCCTCAAAAAAGGCATGATCATCAGAGCTGAGGAAGAAAGAAAAATAGGAAATACATCCATTAAATAAATAAAGTAAATCAATAAAAAGACTGAAACAAAAGACCAGCTTGTGTCTCTGCGAAAGCGATATAGCTTTCTGTTTCCATCGGCTGAAACAGCCAACATTTCCAGCGTGCAGGCTGGGCAGGTGAAAGGAGCACCATAGCAGAGCTGGTCTTCCTCAAATGAAGCATATGAAAACTCTAAGAAGCTGTGCTGTAGTGTATCGCCGTTGATTTGTTCAGACTGGAATATATATAGAATGAAATAGTATATGTAACAATGTCTGATAATTAGGGGTGGAACAGTTCAACTTATTTACGGTTCGGATCACGGTTTTAGAGTCACGGTGCTATGTTTAGGCAAAAAATATACTGTCAAATAAAAATAAAGAAAATAACTACAAGCAACAGCACAAATAAATAGAATAGAGTAAAGATACAAATAAAATAAACAGTGATTTTCAGTTTTTTTTTTTAGATAGGTCTAACATTAGTTTCAGAAACAGAAATTGAATAAAGTAATGAAATGTAAATGTAAATGTAAAACAGCATTGCATATTTGACTGTATAAATTAAAGATGAATCTTTATTAAAGTTACAAAAGCTATTCAATCAAGAGCAGTGAGTGATTTCTTTATTGCTGTAATTAGTATTAAGAAAGCGCTGTCACTTTAAGAGAATGCACTGATCTAGTGCACTGATTGATACAGTGCATTCAGCCGGCTATGTCTGCTATAGGATACTTACCAAGATGGGCATTTTGACATAAGTTTTGTGTGAATTTGTCCATTTAAACACAATACTTCAGAGAAAGCTCAATATTTGCACGCGTTCCGAGGCACGGGTTTGCGTGCTTTGGATGAGTGCACGCACAAATCTTCTCACTGCGTGTGCGAGCTCGCGTCCTTTGGCTCTTAAATGTTTAAACTGGGAAAGCTTACATGAGTTTAGTTTAAACACATATATCTACGTGTGCTGTTCAGGGGGGTATTCCAAAAAGCAGGTTATGTGACATATCCGGGTATGTTTGAGGATAAGCGAGCGGATAACATCAGTTTTCGGTTCCAAAATCCGAGGTTACTTTCAGGGTATGTAAGTAACCATAGTAACTTGTTGTAATGTATTGGGAAGCCAGAATGCGCATCCATCAACAGAAACATGTATTAGCCGAACCCTGTTTGTTTTACGTGTTATTTATAGCAACCCATACAGATGCATTGTCAGATTTAAGTTGAACCGTGGTCCTACGTGCCGAACCGTGTGTGGAGAACTGTACGGTTCGATTTTTTTCCGCGAACCATTCCACCCCTACTGATAATGGAAAGACATTTTATAATATGGTAATAACAATTACACTTACTCTTCCTCCAATCGTAGTGCGATACTCCAGCAGCTTTGTGAAGTATTGTGCCAAACCAATCGATCACAGATTAACCACAATCATTTAGATAACTTGTCTGCATTTTCAAACATTTATAAACCGATTCAAATATAATTATAGACATATACATTTCACTCTGTCACAAAGGCTTGTCTGGAGAATCCCGGAGAGGTGACCTTGAGTTCCTGAAAGGAGCTCAGGAGGTCCAGTGTATAAAGTGTGGAACTGGTGACAGAGGCAGGCCCATATCCACTCCTAAGGAGGTCCTTCAAGTCAGGGATCCACTGATGCTGGCACGTTTGACATACATAGTGGCTGATGCAAGTCAAAACGCCCTTTGGACAAAAAAGTACATGTAAAAATGTATTTTAAAACAGTTAGGTAATTCTGCACATTGTGAATGGTTGAGAGACGTTGCACAAGTTCCTATAATCCCGGCACTCAAACCAGACTTCTTGAGTAGTATCACACATTGTTTACATTTGTCTAAATCATCAAATTACAAACAGCTGTGTTGGCTAATGACAATACCATGTGCTATACCATAGATTTTGACACGACTGCAATTGTAAGCACAATGCCACAGCACACT